CAGGTTTTTAAATGGACTAATGGCTTAAGCAGGGACCAAATTTTTAATTATTGGCCCTTGAAAATAGAAAAAAAGTTATTGGGATCCTAGAAGTTTATTGATTTCAAGAGATATAGAACCCTAAATATGGCTTCACAGCTAATATACATCTTTTTTTAAATTTGAAATGTGTGGGAAAAAATTCAAAATTCAGTCCTATTTGTTGTTTGAGACACAAAAATAGGTTGAATTTTGGTATTCTCCTCCTCCTCAAAAAAAAGTTTTACCTGACAAGCCATTTAAAAGGGTTAAATATCTTCAGAAAGCTTTGATCCTTGGTGAAAATGAAGACAAAATAGGCTCCAGCAGACACAAATGGACCACTGGCTCTTCTAGTGGTCTGATTTTTACTTTTTGGCCCTTAAAAATGGAAACAGTACAGTGACAGATTTCCTGAATTCTGTCTAAATTGACACAATCTGACACTTTTATATAAAGTTTGCCTCCCCTTGAAACAAGCTTGGGCATCTATCCCTCGATGAGTTTAGTCACAAAAAATAAACACAGAAACTTCAAAACACAGCATGACCTGCAGTAGAAAGTTTACTCTATTGTCACTTAAAGGTGCCATAGAACTCAAAAATTGCATATGGAAATGAGTGATTTCAACAGTAATCTAACTGAAATCCCATTTTTGCGCATGTACAAAACTGGATTTTGTTAATTTAATGTATCACAAGGCAATGTTATCATGACTCAGTGATTGTTTAAACGGCCAAAACTTTGTCACTACTAAAGCTGCAACTAACTACTAACGAATAAAAGCCATATACACGTGACAAATGAATAAACTATCTGAAAGCAAAATCCCGACTCAAATAAGTTCAGATTGTTTTGTCAAACACGGGTTATTCTAATCTAAGAGCAAAGCAGCTGATTGCCAGTTAGCTTTGTGTTTATGTGTTTATCCACCTATTGTTTCAGATTCACTTTCAACATGACAACAGAATTATTGATTCTAAAGACAAACATTCCTGCCAGAATAAGTCCTGATTCGTACAAGGAGTTAAAATGAACTGTCCGACATGCAAGTCAGTGCAAACTTAACAATCAGTCTAGTGAATTACAGAACCAACGTCAAGTTTCCTCATTCTGTTAACTGGCTAACTTGATTCGGCAAAACTTTACACGCATCAATGAAATAAAAGTCCACAGAGCCGAGACATGAGTCAGTCCATGGATTATGGACGAAATCTGATCACTACATAAACAGATAAATGCACATTCTGCAAAAGTGCCTCCATCAGGAACTCATTTTATTCTGTTTTTCATCCAAGATAACCAATTTACAGTACAAAGCTAATTTAATCAGGTAATCTCATCAAATTCAAGATGTTTTTTTTTTCTGTTTAAAAGAGATATTCGCAGTCAGAAGTAGACATCAACTCAAACTGAATTTGAACCTTGGGACCACTTTTAGGCAATAAAATGAGCTCTGTTGTATCTAAATTAACATTTTCTAACAGAATTACCAACATGGTAATACAGAGACAGTTTTCAAACATCATTTAGGTCATAATATAGTGAGATAAAATGTGCATGAAGTATATTTGATATGTCAAAGGAGTCTTGTTTTGGCAGCTGAAATCAAAGTTTTTCTGTGCATATTGCTGTAGTTTGTTTATTTTTAGAATCTTCACTAAAGTATAATTGCATGTGTCCAACTAAATCCGGATAATGGCCTTTAAGCTCTGCAGAATGGTTTATGTCCGGACGCAGACATGTGGCTCACACTTGTGTTCCCAAATTAAGACACAACGCTGGCAGAGGTGTAAATCAGACGCTGGTGTTGCAATAATGACATTACCTCCCTGAACCCAGTGCGGTTAGAAGCTGTTGCGAAAGGAAGATGACTCAAGTTTGTTGCTGAACCTGAGGCGACTGGAAGACCTCAAACAAAAGAAATGAAAAGATAAAGAGAGAAAAGGATGATGGGAAAGACTGATGAAGAAGAGGCAGGTAGTAAAAGAGAGATCAGGTTGTGGTGGGAACGAAGAGTTAACTGGGTTCTTTTATTGTCTTTTTTTTTTGGCTTCGTTCACGCTCTGGCTGCCATCGGTCAGACAAAGGAGCTCTGAGCCTCCATGCTGCGTTGCTCTGAAGGATCCATTTTACACTGCCAATCAAAATGAACCCAGGTCATTTACATACTGTATCCACTGAGGCCCATTCAAAACCAGGGGAGCAGCGCCCCCTACTGTTCACTGTAGGGCACTGCATTAACCCTGCAACTGCCAACCATGTCGAGAGACCACAAATGGATCCCCAAAAGTGAAAATTACATAATTAAACCGTTGTAAATAATTTCAATCAGGGAATCTATTAAACTGCTTAAAAACTGTATTTAACCTTTAGTTTTCAGAAAAATAGCACCAATTGACGACATTTCTCAGCAAGAAACTAAACAAGAGTTGTTGAATTTTCAACTTTCCGACAGTCACCGAACTACTCATGAGTGATGTCCTCAGTCCAAGTTTAAAAAATATTTTATCAAGATGAACCTATTTTAAATATCTTGTGTAAAAACTAGCCAAAGCTAAAATGTTTGCTCCAAACATAAACTGTTTTTTTTTTTTTTTTTAAGTGTATTCTTTATAACAATCATGAAGCCATTAGTGATTCAGTTGTGACCAACAGTGAAGAGACAAAAATTCAAGGACTTTTCGACTGATCTGCAGGCTGTGTTTAGGGAAGGCATGAAAACTAACGAAAAATCTAAATTGAAGATCTATCATATGTAGGGCCACATTTTTGTCTAGTATTTGTAACATCTGTGCACACTTGGTTAAAGTATGTACATTTCAATTTTTAGTGGTGGCAAACATTTCCAGAAAAACCTCAAATGTAACAAAATAATAACTGTCTGACATTTGTTTATTGTTTTTTGTTTTTAAGTTTTTTTTTTTTTTTTTTTTTTAAATTTGAAGTAAAACAAAACTAATAGTTTGTAATGTTGTGTGAATATTCTTTTTTATTATTATTAATTGTTGATAATGGATGTATGCCATCACATGATGTACACTGTATTTATGGACTTATGTCAGTTCTTTTTAACTGTATGTTTTCATCATATATTACAAACACTGTTGTCTTCTGCCACAAGAATATACCCATGACAATCCACATCTTCCGATGTATTATGTTGCATTTAAGTCTATATTTTGATATTTGCATGCCGTTTATCTAAACTGTATGGTTTTATTTAAATACAAGTTGATTTAACTGTTGTACATGAGTTGCTACAATTATGCATTTTGGATGCATTGGAATTTCACACAAGTCACTGCCAATGAAAATGAGTCTTTTGGCTAATGAGGTTACGTTGACATTTATTTGAATGTTGGTTATTGTACATTATGCCTTTTCAAATAAAGACATTGAAATGGAAAATCTTTGTGTGATCTGCTTTGCCAATTTTGATGCAGGAAGCACTTTTTTTTTCGACTTTTATTTCATTTATAAATGTGTTTCTCTAATAATTACTTTGCCATTTTCACTTATATCTTTCGTAATGTCAAAAACTTGTGAAGATGTGTTCTAAATTCCTGGTTACAAAAAGAAGTAAACAAAGACATTTTTGAGTATTTGAGAATTTATTCATCAAATGTACAATTGAAATTATTTGTTCTTGAATATGCTAATCATCCCCCTTGTCTTCTGCTATGGGCAAGCATAGATTTTAAATTGATCTTTTTTAAAACTAAATGATAAAACTTAAGAAAAACTCAAGAAACACTTGCTATAGCGACCTACGTTTGACAACTTTATCCCTGTGGCAGCAGGACTTAATGTTGTGCATTTCATAAAGAATAAAATAGAGAGTAGAAAAAAAAAACTACAGCAGATAAATAAAATAAAGGGAACCAGATGAGAAAGAAATGTGGTTACAATTTAGATTAATAAAAATAAGATCAAGTCAAGGTGAAACAACATTCAAGTATTGTTTTTATTATTTCCAAACACCCACCACTTCCAACATTCATCTTTCAGTACAGTTTCCCACATCTGTAATTATTGCTTCAGCTGTTATGTTTTTGTCTTTTCTGCCATTAGAAGCTTATTATCAGGATCATTTAGTTTGTCAAACCAGACCGGCGATACTCAATCCAACTGTTGGCACTCAACCGTCAAGTAATAAGTAAAAATATCTAAAAAGGAAAAGAAATAAAAACTCCAAAAAAAGTGTTCAAAAACATGCTACAATAATGTTCCCCTAAGAAACAATAAAGGAGCAAAGAAAAAATATCTATAATACTTGTAATCATCCATACATTATCAGAATAAACTGTCATCTCCAAAACAATTGAAAAAAAGTATAAGAAAAGTGGAATCTGAATTCATTTTAATGGGAAATACCTTCAGTTTAAGGGTTGAATCAGTGATAGAGAACATGATAATGTATCATCAGTTATCCCACCTTCACATCAGCTTTTCATTTAGCAAATAATAGCAAGAGTAAATTTACTTTTTACTCTTCATTTTGCTGGAAAGAGATTTGACTGAAAGCAACTCGTTCAATTTCTAAAGGATACGGCAGCATGTTCTTATCCAACCCGCAACAGGAACACGTTCACTTTCTGAAAAGCTCCTAAAACCTGTGAAGCTGCTTATAGATAACTAAAGGTGCAACTGATGACACTACGAATTCAAGTCTAAATTGTGACGCTTTCTTTATGTCCTCACACACTAATTTGGCCTACATTTGAAACTGAGCGGTGTTCCCCTTGAAGGCCTCAAGGAGGTGCTAACACACCTGCGAGCGCTTGAGGTTTCCAGTCAGGAGGAGAGAGAAGCAGGAGATATGTGAGGAGGTCATGCAACAGCTGTTTGGTCTTTGGCCACATCTACTAGAAAAGTGTAAAGTTTCAGGACATGCGTTGATTTAAAGACAAAAAGAGGGAACACAGTTTGACAGTCAACTTGTTTTTAGCATCTGACTTAAGTGATAAGGCAGCAATCATCTCGAGTAGGAAATAATGTTTCTTAAGGCATCTACAGAGCTGGAAAATTCACACATTTTCAAAGGTTTGACACTCATTTGGAACGATCGGAGTGATGCGCTGAAATTAAGGCGTTTCAAGTTCATTGTGTGCGTTCAAAGGTGCAAGATGAAGCCACTTCTCATATTTAACTATCATGATATATTTTAGAATTTCTTGTAACTATATGCAACGGTAAATATGATAAAACTATGCTAACTTATCTGACAGAAGTCTGATCATTTGATGAACAAAAAATGCCAGTTATGCTGAGTTAACAAAACAAGTGGTCAAAACATTGAACATTGCTGTAGCTACTATCAGTTTTTATGATTTGGCTTTGGTGGTGGATAAAACCCTCACCAAATATTCTCTACGCAACAAAAGCCTTGACATTTAAACTTCTCTTTCTGTTTTAAGGCTCTTCATAATGGTAATCACGTGGCAAAGTAATTGCAGTTAATTTATTAATACATTTTAGTCAACGTGAGTTAATGTCCACTGATGGCGAGATCCAGTGTTTGCAGTCACACTGAATTCTGACGCAGAGGAAAAAGCCTCCGTTTGCCAAACATTCGCATGTTTCTATTGTCAGGTGAAAACCTTGTGACTCTTAATTTGGTGATTATTCCACATTTGTTGCCAGATGACCAAAGAATTCATGAAGTAAAATGTTTGAATTGTTTTTTTATGATTTCCTGTAAATCTGTAGTTTAGTTTGACGAAATATTGACACTTTGATTAATTTCTGTGGGAAAAAGCCACAGCTTAAAAAAAAGATAAATCGAAGACTGGTCAATTTTTATGTTTACATTGATTACAGTGGAAGTGGAAGCAGTTGTTTGACAGTCTTCTGACGTTCCGTGTAGCCACAGTGTGAGTCTCCTTTGACATGGATGAAGTCATGTTACAGACACGGCTGACTGCTGAAGCTCTGATGGGAATGTTGTTGCTCCACATTTGACTTCCGGTAATAAACATCACTGATGTCGCACTGACTTCTTTTCATCCGGACTCCATTTTCTAATTATTTTGGTCAGTTGTGAATGTAATGACAACAGCTCGGGAAGACTTCCTGCTTTTCAAGAATTTTCTTTAATTGTGGTGTGATTAAAGCAGCTACACTGGCCCACGTAATTATCCAGGACGTTCTTTTGCTGTCAGTCCAAAAACTGTGCATAGCTGCATTATAACCTAATAAACTGGAAACAGTTTATTTTACTTCTGGCCTAGTTTTAACATCTTAGTGGGTATGTTTGCACATGGAAATGACAGGAAAAAAAAACCCAACATATTGCAAAGTTGTTTTTTTTTCTTTTTTTTTTTTAAGGTTGAAATGTGGCCTACTAAAGCAGGAAGCAGTGTTACGGGTTGAAGATGTAGTGCCACTTTCTCTACCGCAGACCAGACTTGTTTTTATCCACTTCAAAACTTTTTATTTCTCCAAATATTTCCAGCGTGGTGCAGGAACCCAATCAACAGCAGATCTGTTATTAAAACAAATTTCACAAAATGTAAACCAGCAGTTTACAAGCCAAAGTGATTTCATTCATTTTACACAGTTCTTAAGCTTTAAGACTTTAATGATTTATACAGTGAGACTTTGAGAGATTTGTAGGATTTTAAGACAAAGGTGGTTGCCAGTTTCAGCTGTAAACGTGACTCCATCCATTGTTTATGTCTTCAAGGCATCTGAGGTTCAAACCTCTGTGCTGCTCAACCTGCTTCCTCCCATTATCAAAACCCCGTTTCCTGGCTAGTGAGGAGTGTTGTTCAAATGTGTTAGTCATATTAGGTTGACATGAAGCGCCTGTCTGTTCCAACACCACACCCAAGTTAAGTCACTACGACTGAAGGCACTGTTTAAACATGTGTCTGCCTCGTCCACCTTCATACCCTCCCACCCCTCCCTCGGTTCTCCCTCCCTCTGTTCCCATCTGGGTTCATCACCTCCCTATCCACCTCCTCCTCCTCCTCTATCTTGTCCTCCTCCTCTTCTTCTTCTTCTCGTAGCATCTATAGCAGGACGCAGCGCTTCTTGGGTTTGTTGTCTGGAGGCTCCAAAGCTGCCAAGATGGCCTCGTCAAACACGTTCTTCAGTCCTCTCTGAGAAAGAAACAGAAAGAGACAATGCGGAACTTTGTTTTTATCTCAGGGGCACGAAAACCCCAGTGCTAAAAACAGAAACAAAAAGATATAATCTTCTAAAAATGGTGTTCATTTTCTGGCTGACTGATATTTCTGATCTTCTTCTACTGCAAACAAGCATTCATGTTACTCTGCCATAGATGTCTGTCCTCTAAAAAGACCAAAAAAACATCAAGAATAAAAGATAATATGAACTTGTGTAACTGCACTTCCTTCTGTATATGCAACTTCACTTTCCAGTTCTAAGGCTTTTCAGTAAATGATCGGTGTGTGGTAGAGCTGGGCGATTAATTAGGGTCAGAGCACTGTGCAAGGACCCTATTGTAACCCTTAGGTTTCTTCTAATTATTCTTCCACCAAAAGATACGCAATTTTGAGGGCCTAAACATGCACAAAAACTCACCAAAATCGCCACACACACCAGAACTGGTGAAAACTTTTATATTTTAATGGACTTGGACATGTCAATGGCAAAATGGCTCCACACCCCCCCTTGAAAATGTAAATGGAGTCCTGTCACAAGCCCGTTTGGCCTAGAGCTACGGAATTTGGTAGGCATATAGAGCAGGTCTGGATGATTAAAAAAAGTCCTCCCCGCTTCAAGTTCTAAAATGCAACACGGCTCAACTGCGCCCCCTACAATATTTCAACTGAGTCCCATCAGGGCTACCTTTGACTTAGAGCTACAGAAATCGGTACACATATGTAGCAGCTCAGGACGCACAAAAAAGTCCATTAGCATGTTTCTGTAAACCCAACAAGAAAAACGCCAGAGCATGATGGGCTATTTTCACTCATTTTCAAAATCTATCTCCTCCTAGGGGGTACGTCATACACATCTGAAATTTGGCCAGCACAAACTACAGGATATGGTGACTGAAAGTCATTAAAATGCTCCGCAAAAGTCTAAGCAATGCAAATGCCCCTCAAAGAAATGTAATGGCAATAATTAAGAGGTCCACATTCCACTCTTACTCGATGACATGACCCTACATTATTGTTAGGTCTTCAGCTATTTATTTTCATTACTAATCAATCAATATATTCGTTTCTTGACCTAGAATTTTTTATTTTTTTTTAAAAAGAAGAAATTAGTAAAACACATCATGTCTGCCATTACTTGCAGCTGCAGTGACAGACTTTCACATATAGATGAATGCTTGTTACATTCATGCCAAACAACTTCACATATTGCCAATTAAATCACTTTCGATTTTACATTATGCCCAAAGTTCTAATCGAATTTCTGTGGGAACATTCCTGCACTGGTGCACTGGTAGCGATGCATTTTACTGCAACAGACAGCGATTAGTTTGTCAGAACTGACAAAAAGGATGGAGTATATACAACATGGTGGTCTACGGTAGAAAAACTTGGAAAGAAACATTTCTGATGCAGCAGATTTAAAAAAAAAAAAAACCAAAAGAAAAGAAAAGAAAAAGACATCAGAGGAAGAATTACACCTTGAAAAAGAAAGACAGCAAGGCACACGTCAAGAGCACATTCTAGTGTTTGTGTAAATACCTGCACTGCTTAAGGTGGGAGACAAAAGTTCCACTATGCAGTTTTAATTCATTATGATGTCCAGCAATGGAAAAAAAGCAGAAAACAATCAAATGTTTTGGATTTTAACATGAAAAATTACTCAAACAACTGATTAATGAAAAAGTTGCTGGTAAGTTTTCTGCTGCTCAACAAAATGATTAGTTATGAGAAAATGTACTTCAGTTGTAATTTATTGTGTAGATTACTTTAAAACATCTCACCTTTTACCTTGTTTATGATCAGATTTTGTTAGGATTAAGATTTTATCAGGCTTTTCTAAACGTGACCAGCAGCAGTCTTCTTTTTGTGCGACACGTTTTACCTCACGTGGCAACTCACTGAGCCAGAGGTGGAACTTTTTTTTTTTTTTTTTTTTTAAACAACTACAAAGATGATGAATGTTTCTTGTTTATTCCAATTTTGCAAAAAGGTAAGACGGGATTAAACACAGCCAACTGCTGATAAGTCAGCCAGATCAAGACATGCCTCATCTTGTGATCAGTTTAGTAACTATATGTTGCCAAACTCATTCAACACATGGATTTTCCCACTTGTCTTTGAATTGACAAAAGTTGAACAATTTCTTTTCCTTTTGAGCCTCGCTGTTTACCTGCGTAAGAGCTGAACACTCCACATATTTGACGGCCTTGAGCTCACGAGCCAGCTTCTCTCCGCTCTCACAGGTCAGGGCTCGCTGTTTGTTCTTGGCCAGTTTCTCCAGAGTGTTGCTATCATCTCTCAGATCCACCTGAGTCCCGACCAGCAGGAAGGGTGTTCGTGGGCAGTGGTGTGAAATTTCTGGTACCCACTGTGAAAAAGCGAGCCGAAGGTCAGGTCTCATAGACTTTACTTGAAACTCCCACTGGTTTGCACATTACCGTAACTAAATGTCAACATCAAACCAAACTGCCATCTGCGAGTTTGTGGGTACTAAATTAAATTAAGGTAAAATTGCAGACAAGGATGCTGGTTATATTTATTCGTTTGGCTTGTTGATTAACGTAGTAGTAATTAAATTAAAAGGTGACTTGGACAAAAAATGAATGAACAAACCTTCTCTCTGACGTTCTCAAAGGAGGAAGGGGACACAACGGAGAAACAGACGAGGAAGACATCGGTCTGAGGATAGCTGAGGGGTCGCAGTCTGTCGTAGTCCTCCTGACCTAAAGAGAGAGACATGAAAACACCCTAATCAACAACAATAACAGCAGCAGCAGCTGTCGAGGAAAAAACAGTCAACAAACTTTTCTTTACTGGTTTGAAATGTATCCCTCTGAAACCCAAAACCTGCCAGCAGGTTTGAAAGGTTATTTTGCTTTTGTTTTGTTTTTTAAACCAATTAGCCAGAAACTGTATAACCAAAAACACTCATTAAATTTCTACTTTCCAATAAGCCTTTAACTACTCATCTATGACATGTGGTTCCACAACCAAAACCATGAGTGACTCAGTTGCCACCAACAGTTTTGTGACAAAAATTCAGGAACTTTCAGCTGAACTGCAGGCTGTGTCAACACAGAGCAGATTTGACTCAAGTATGGAAACTCAAAATGTCAATAGTTAAATATCTACAGTTTGTAGGATCCCCATTTTTCCCCCATTATCACTGAAATCTGCAGACACATGAAAAAATATTTGACATGTTGATTCAAGGTGATGAAATGTTTGTAAAATATTTAGTCAACTTTTTTTTCTCCTTAAGATTCAAGGCGTTAGAACTCTGTCATAAGGCACAGACAGATGACATGTTTGAGTTCTGTCTACATCTAGCCATGTTTGTGCTGTCTCCATTGAAGTGCAGGACTTTATATTGTAGTAAAAAATGAGCTAGAAACTCAGACAAAATGTGACAAAAGTAAAAAAAAATGACCAGAAACTGCTTTTGGTTCAGAGGATTAAAGTCTAAACTCATAACAAACCAAGAATAAGACAACACTCACTACTATTCCTGTACTGCTACTGATACTATTATCCTACATAGAATTACATATAAACTATGTACAGAATTATGTTTACCTGCAGTGTCAAACAGTCCCAGAGTGTATGGCTCCCCACCAATCATCACTGTCACGGCATAGTTGTCAAACACCTGGGGGAAATAATGGGGGAGATAGAGGGGGAGATGAGTGGGAACAGAGGTTGGAGAGTAAGACCAAGAGAGCAAAAGGAAGGGTGAAAAGGAAGTAAAAATGTGAAACAGACATATGATCAGGGGCATTCTTCAAAACAAAACAGGAAGCACACTTCTCATCTTTAACAGGCTCACGAGTTCCCAAAAAAGAGGACATGTGTTATCAACTGCACTCGTAAGGACACTCGGTGTCACCAAATCTCAATCTAATTCTACAACCAAATTCCGAAGGAGTGAAAGGCAGAAAAAAAGTATTTAACTCCAAAATTTTAAGCTTTAAAACTGAAACCAATACTGGGCCAAAGGTTGCACATTGTTGAAATCTTTCAGATATTTTAGATATACACAGTAAATCTTTCATCATACGGAGATATTCTACTTTAATGTCATGCAAAGCAAAAGCGTGAACAGGACTGAGTATTCAAAAGCACTTAATCACTTGTAACTACTTTGATAACAAAGTGTGTATTTTACACAGATTTTCCTGTTTTCCCCACCATGCACGTCAAAGGTCACCAGGTTTACACAACAGTAGACATGAAGTGTGAGATAAGCTCTTTGTAACTGTTGGCTTTAGGCGTTCAAACTGCAGCACGACCAGCATCGGAATGTTTACCAGCATACAAATACTCAGATTTATGGAATATTTACAAAATGCCTAATTGTCACAGAAACAGGTCAGCCCAGTCCCTCCTGTCCCCCAGCGGGCTGTTTCAGATGCTACTTAGATAGAATTTGACATTATTATTATTACACTGAAGTAGGCAGGAGGTGTGAACCCAACCAATGAGAATACCACATGATGAATAACACAAATTTCACAACTATGTAACGACTACTTACTAAGTAATGGCTGCAGTTGGGAGACATAAACACATATGTAGAGCTGAACACTAAGGGGAAGAACCTGCTGTTGCAAGACCGTATCTTAAAATGCAAAAACTAGAGGTTGCTAGCTTAGCTTTAGCACTCCTTGGCAATAATTTCAGGCATAACTTTTCATCCTCTAAATAATATTTTAGCTTATAAACAGCAACAGCTTCTCATTTCATGCTTGGTTTTGATTGGCTGCATTTCACTATTAGGTCTGAAAGTCTGGCAAACAGGTGGGGATATAAATTAAATCAAGGAAAATAAAAGGTTGAATTCTCGCACTCTGTATGTCCATTCAGCTCTAGACAGAGTTTTGGTAGTGGATCTCTATCAAGTAAAAGTTTTATAGCCGTTTTTGATTTGCTTTGATTATATGCTCAATAATTTTAATGACCACGAGAAACATTGGTTAACCTTTTAAACTTCCAAACCCGTCTTCAAGTTTGGAAGTGCTGTTTCCATAAAGGTGCAGGACTTCACAGTGCAGTGAAAAATGAGCCCATAAAAAGAAAAAAAAAAACGTGACAAGAGAAAAACACCCAGAAACTGCTTTCGGTTCTGAGGGTTAATGAGCACACAACTAAACCAAGCTGAGTTACTGAATCAATCAGAAGTGGGTGGCACTAAGAGGTCTGACAGCTGTATCTTCTTGAAAGTGTAGGTGCGGTTTTACCACATTTCAATGACGGTAGTGTCTCCCTGGCAACACAAGTAAACAACTAAACACCTGCGAAACTCTTGAATGTTTTTCTGTCAATAACGTTATGTAATGTAATGGGTAGTTGGAATAAGGTGACATAACCTTTTTGCTATAGGGCCCCACATTGATCCAGCCAGAAAATTGTGCAAAACAACCAGCATTACTATAACTTTATGAGATAATGGTGTGGTCACATGCTCGACTGCTGACAATTTCATTACAGCAATTGTTGACATTTAAATGACAACTTCAGTGTCTGAACTGGCCTTAATCGGATTAAATATCCTCATTACTAAATGAGAAAATGATGGAATTGAGCTGAATTCTCCCAGTACAAGGAACTGTTTTACTGCTGCTCAGGTGAACAGACTTGTCGTCTCACAGTCCACTCCTCCCTACCGTTTCATCACTCCCATACCTTCAAGCTGTTGCCACGTGCAATAACAAGCAGCATGGTCCCAACATGCCTGCTGGCCTCAGCTCTAAACTGGGAGGTGAGCTGCAGCAGGGAGTGTCTTTTAGTCACTGCGCCTGCTTGAAACAAGCACAACTTTAACATGTTGGCCTGCTACCTTCTGCTGTAGCCTGCAGACACAGTTTGGTTTTAATGAAGCTTCGTATGCACAGACAAGTTCCAGATCAACTGGAGGATATAGCCCGTAGGAGAGGAAGTAGTACATACATGGAGTCAAGCTCTGTATCTGTTTGATCTTTGTTTAACCAGGCAGGCTCACAGCAGGTGACTTGAAATGCTTGTTGCACAATATCTGCCAGGTCTCAACACAGCATGTCTACAACTCCATTAAACTTAAGATTCTCTTTTTCTGCTTTGATGGAGAAAGCATCTGTAACACCATCATGTACAGACAGCAGACAGAATATATTTGTTTTTTAATCAAATTATGGTAAACAACATGGTAACGGTGTACCATATTTAGCATCTATAAGCAGTACGCAATAAGTTTACAATAATGCATCAATGCAAGTCAACTGTATAGAAAGGTAGTTAGAATAATATGAAATAAGTTTTCATAGATCAAGTTATGATAGCTAACAAATATTTTAAATGTTTTTTTTTTTTATACTAAATTGTGGTGTATGACACACTACTTGTATGGGGGAATTTGAATTATATGTGGTTAAAAAAAACAGTCATTGGACAGTGTAACAGTGGCTAAATACTCTAACGTCTCAATAGATGGAAACAACATGCATACATAAACTGTACATGTAAAAGATGGGGCAGTTGTAGCCTCATAAAACAACAAAAACTAAACTTATGCAACAAAAATTCTATCAAAATTTCACATATGAAAACTAAAATGTCATTTTTAGGGGACTAACACAAAAAAATCAGCATCTGCATCTAATGTCAGATCTGCATTCATTCCTACAGTCATGTCTGACTAAAAATCAGCACTTTGTCATATATATGTGTGTGTATGTACTTATGAGAATTTTGCCCTTTTTTAAAAAAAATAATTAACATGTTTACATTTGAAAAGGTGACACATAGACTACTAGAAGTTAATAATGTTGCACAAAGTATTTAATGTTACAGTTCGATGTTGCAGGCCTTTTAATTCGGGCAGAACATTAGTCAACTGTAAATTAAAATCCTAATTTTAAACAGTGCAATTGACAAATCACAGAGGATGCAATTTAGAATGAACTAGGTTGGCTGTTAAATATTGAGACAAATGTTGTATATCAGTTTTACAGCAGATTGCCACGTTACAGTTACACCTCATACATGTAGCCTGACACGAACTGTGTTTCAGTGGTTTAACACATTACTGTGGGGATTCTTTTTATGACAGACACACTTTTGATGGTAATTCATGTGGTAATGTGCCACAACAAGTTATAAATCTATTTGACAGTAAATACTGAACTAATAAAGGATTTTTTAAAAATTCCATTACCAATCAAGCTGCAATATGACAGAAAAATGTGCTATTTTGCCAAACTGTTCAGCCCTACTTTTAATTATGCGTTTATGATATATGAATGTATCAATTATACAGACATGAACTTAGCTCCTTTTAAGCTCCCAAAAACAACACATTTTAAATCTTTAAATATTGAATATTTGACTAAATGGGCAAAACTAAGCTCAACAAAGGGGAAAAACATAACAAAAAACTAATAAAACCAATAAAGTTTCACATTTAAATTTGTCTTATCAGTAGCATGCCATTTTATCCGTTTGATTCACTCTGATAGAATATTGATGTTAGTCAATTTCTGTTTCAAAAGTGCTTAATTATCTTTTTCTGTTTCTGTCAAAAGGCCCTGTGGTCACAAGACATTTCAGAAATCTGAATAGGGAAAATAAATTAATATAGATTTTTTTTAATGGCAATACGAGGGTTGATCAAAACGTTCTGAGACTGTTGGTGCACAAGCAATAATCACGTAACTTTGCTTTTTTACCAGGAATTGTGCTCCGGATGGTTTTGTAACCACTGGCAGTTTCACATCCAAGGAACTCACACTGGAGCAAATATTTGTCTTTCTGTAATTTTTTCCTCTTCCCCTAAATACAATTCAAGTTGTAGGGTCACTATTTTGACACGGTTTGAGAGATTCAACCCTTCAGACTATGCTGGACACATTGACGGAACAGGACTTCTCGGAAGTGTTATAAACGGGCAGGAGCACTGGGAGCTGAGCAGCACTGCACAAGGAGACTACTTTAATAGGGTTGGCCGCAAAATCAGTTGAAATCAGTTTTGAGTCTAAACCTTTTGACCACCCTTTTTGTTATTGTTCAGGAGTTTGTGTTAGACTGGATACTTTGGATTTAGCATTTTAGCTCTGGGAAAATGCTGTTGACTGAGGCGTTTAGAATTTCTTTCCTTCTTTAAATGTTACTTGTGTTTTTTCCAGAATAAAGAAGCAGCCTTGGACTTTACTCAGACAGACTGACAAGACAGCTCATGGTACAACACACACAAATAGACCTACAGAAATGGACATACTGAGGCAGAGGTACTAGTCAGTTCAAGTTTAGGCAGAAACTGTGCAATACGATGAGGCACAGTGGAGAGGTGAGACAAACATTTCACAAAAATACTAACTACACACGCACACACATAGACACACACACACACACAGACACACACATAGACACACACATAGACACACACACAGACACACACACAGACACACACACAGATTTGTTTGGATGGAGCTCAGACTACAGAAGCTGCTGGAAACAGTCAGATCACAACAGTCACTGTGGAAAACAGCTGCACAGAAAAGTCCCTTAACAGTATCCATGTTATTTACAGTTACAATTACTTCACTTTAGTCATCCTGCACGAAATGTTCCGTTTTGATTTTATCAACAACAAACTGGAATAAACTACCTAACAAGGACACTCCAGATAAAATTTAATGGATGGAATATTAAATTATAGTCCGCTGACCTGTTTCTAAAGGAATTATTTCCTGCACAAGACTTCTACTCTCCTGTTTTGTTTTTTGTGGTGGCTGTCAGCTGACTGACAGGAAACAACACAAGATGCAAAACTGATGTGAAAAGGCTCAGCAAAAAAACACAATGAAGAAAAGATGAAGCGGAAAGTTTGCACAGGTTTACTGTGATTAATCTCCCGACTTAGCTGCAGCTTGTCTTTTTTGAAAGCAGGAAAGCTGATATCTGGAACTGTGCTGAGTTTGCAAACACCAGCCAGAACAATATAGAAGAGGCTGACAGAGTAGAAAAACTCAGCTCCAAACTAAATGAAATATTATTTAAAATGTATAAAGTTGAAAGGTTTCTTGTCCAGAGACTCCGGTATTTCAACTGCATGATAACTGGTCTCAAAGGTTTAAGATAAAGCTACAGTGTTGACGTGGAGCAATAAGGCTGTTACTAACAATAGGATAATGTAGGGAGGAACAGGATGTTGCGCATGCAATAACAACAATAGGACCATAAGCAATAAAAAAAAAAACTGCGTAACTATTGCAGACTGACCTAAATGTTGAGCTCACTTGATGAATGTGAAAGTGCTGTTACTTACTATGGTGACTACTAAATAAAAAATAAAATAAAAATGCATAAAAGATGATTAAAAATCCAACTGAAATATTTTAGTAGAGAAGTCATAATATTAAGTAAATTAAATTGTCATTTCAAGAGAAAAAAAGTATTACAATACATCTTGTAATTTTACAACTTCACTTGCCTGTAAAAGTTCAACCTCATTTGAAAATAATACATCTTAACTCCTGAAGTATTATGACTTTGTTCCCAAAAACATTGCAGCTTTATTCTTGAATACTGCATAATTTGTCATGATATATTAGATTACTATCTAGAATGTAAGCGCTCATGTTTCCTTCGCTTTGGTTGAATACATCTGGCCCTCCTCCCATTCAAACAGAGACTTCCTCACAGCCTACCTGTGCACGGGCCAACAATCACAGCTGTTAATCTAATATGTTTGACAAGTTGACTATACTGAGGAGCGTCACTGAGGCACTTTCACAAACAAACAAGATGGCTGCTACTAATGTGGAACAGTCTTTTGAATTTTTTTGCTATTGTGTCAGTATCATATTCCCGTCCTTCACTCAGTTTGTCATGTTTCATTGCTCTGATTGGTTAAATTCCTATGGAATTGCGACCAGAGGTGTTTTTCCCATGCTAATTTGCATTTGCCTAGCAATGCCCTGCTGGAATATTAAAATAAACATAAATTTATGCATGTTCATAAACTGTTAGAGCAAAATTCTTGAAACCTTTTATATATTTTTGTTTTTTTTGGTGAAATGACAACTTGACAGTTTTGAAATATAATTTGAAATTTTATGCATATATTCTCAATACATGAACAAAGGGGTCTCTGATACTGATGAACTTAGAGAGAATTATTCTCCCTTTGGCTTTTCAGAGCTGTATAGGGAGTTTTTGTGTAGCCCCAATCTTTACCCACTGCTGTCGTACATTTCAGCGTTTCCAGAGAAAAGCACTGCAAACTGCCAACTCAACACCAAACATCAGTAAGGCACAGTTAGAGACTTGCTGGTCAATATAGATATATTGATTGTAATTAGTAAAATATCTGTAGCATGTAGAACCACATTTTTCCCCAGTGTTGGTTGGCACTTGGACACATGTTGCAAATGTTATTTCATAAAATAGATAATCAAAGAAATTAAACTTTTTTCTTTCTTTTTTTTAAATAATCTATGGCATAATAACCGTGTCATACTCCACAAAAGACCTGTTTGAGTTTTCTCTACTGCAGCTGCAGGATTTTATGCTGCAGTGGAAACACTGGTTTCCCAAATAAACCTTGATGAGACATTTGACATTATTCATTCCTCTTCCTGGAGCAATAGGCGATTTATGTAAACATACATTGGCATTTCCTAAAATCTATGGATTAGTAGAAGTGAGGAAAAACAACAAGAAACCTTAAATAGTGAAAAAAGAAGGGTGGAGGATGAATAAAGTCACACCACATGGTCAAAAATAGTGGAGGGGGATGGAGGTGAGAGAGATGGACAGTGAGGCAGGAAGAGGAAGATAAAGTTGAGTCAGCACTGTTGCTTCTGCAATCCACTGATCAAACTGTGCTGACCACTGACAGATGGGTACCAGCAGAAAACAATAGAGAATTACTCAGCAGTTTGCAGCCATCAGTCAGTAAAGCTGCCCATCAAGTAGGGCTATTTGAGATATTTCCAGCCGGAGAGCCCTGCCTGTCACCAGTCAGTCACAAACCAAAAAGCCAGAGTTTGCAGGATCAGCCAGGCTGACGTTAAAGTCTGCACCGCATTTTGTATCAGACTGTAGAGGCTGTGAGGCAGCTTCCTCATCGTGCTGCTACAGCATGACACAACACTTCTGAATAGTCACGACTCAAACAGGATGTGTAGGGACGCAAGTGTACGTTTGTAAATCCTGCAGGTTCAAACAAAACCACCTCTAAGACCGCACAAACACACAGAGAACACTGCAATCCCAAGAATCCAACCAAACAGCAAGCACCAGTAAGTGGGAAAGCTCCTTCAACAGACTTACAATGAGTGAGAAACAGCAACAACTTTCTTCCAAACTGATGTTGCTGAAGTTTATTCGACATTTCATTGCTTCCATTAACTTTTTCGAAAGCAGTATTTCAAAATGTGCATTTAAATATGCTGTGGAAATAAAGCAAATGACACTCGTACGGTGACGATTTCAATCCAATTAGGGCCTGCTTTCTAAAAAAAAAAAAAAAAAGTAAAGCTAAAAGAGCAGACATCCTGAGAAATTATTTCTTTTTTTCAATTTTTAATAGAACATAATAAAGAAAATTATTTTTTAGGTAATTTAGAAATGGTGTCATTACATAGTTCATCCAGCAGTTCCAGTTTCATTGGCTACCATACTGTCAGCGCTGTTTGCAGCACATGTAGCAGAGTACGTATCACAGGTGAGCAGACAGTGGTGTAGTGGGCTTATGATAAATTGCTAACTAGTTTGTGAAATAGGTTGCACTAAACTTAATCATCAATGACTGTATCATTTTTCCTTTTTAATATATCAGCCGATATATTGAGAACAGAATCTCTCACTCCCTAAAATCTGTATCAGCCCCAAAAATCCAGTATTAGTTGGGCTTTACAGACAACTAATCGATTAATCAAAAAAATATTCAACAGAATAATTGATAATCAAAATAGCTGTAGTTTGAATAGAGCCACACTAGCTACTCCCCACAGTTCCTAGTTTTGATACTAAGCTAAGCTAACCCTGTGTGGCATAGATCATCTCATTTAATTCTCAACAAATCAGAAAGTATGTGTATTTCCTAAAAATGTCACACTAGTCCTTCAGAGGTAAAGTACAGATTATTACACAATGGTAAGTATGTCTCAATCTAATCTCAAAGATCAGGATCAGTCAAAGCATTTTTTTTTAACTAATTGGTATCAGCTTCACTGACCACAAACCAAAGCCCAATCTTTTTACACAGCTGTCACACGTAAAGGGAGAGCACAATTCGTTCCAGGAAACAGCTGAAATCTCTGAAAGAGTTGCATTCAACACTACCAATACTATTTCCAGGGCCTGAAAAAGGTAATACTCAACAAAACACAGCAAGATCACTCAAGTAACTCAAGCAACAGCTGTATCAAAGCAAAACAAACTGGATGACACCTTCAGTAGGGGAGAGAAATTAGCTTGCGGCAGATGACAAAGCGAAAAAGATTATAGAGCAAGCAACTAAAGTCATTGCGCTAGATTATCAGCAGAAAATACAGGTTTGTGATACCTTATGGAGCTTTAGCATGGCAAGTTGTAAATTCAGCTCTGTTTGGACACGATTCAAATCAAAACAACACTTTTTGCGCAGTAGCTGAACTTCATTACAAGGTTCATTACCACCCACAAGGTTTTTATCAGATGTGACGGCTGATGGATTTACCAGTTTGAGGCGAAACTGAAATTTCTGTTGTTCACTTTTAGTATTCTAGCCCTACTACAAGGCTGCAGGAAGGGAAATTGTTATTTGTTGTGACAGTGAATGTTAAAGTTAATCTGTTACGCCACTTTGCAATGGAATTGCAATCGTATTAGACATTTCAAGCATTCTAGTTCTACTACTACAATGCCGTACTAAATGGCATTGTTCTAGGTTTGTTTACTTTCTTGTTTCGGATAATAAAAGTAACATTAAGGAACACTAGGTTGATTTCATTAACTTGAATGTACTTGAAGTCTGCACTGTTCATCGGAATTTTCTAGGAAGAAAAGGTATTCGTTTGGGGCTCTGTATCAGTAGATACTTGATATTAAATGACTCTGATCAGCTCAGGGGCAAAGAATCGGGAACTCCCTACAAAATGGGTTTTATTTTGTAGCAACATTTGCTATTTTTTTAAGGGTGAAAACAACAGCAAGTGTCCCGAAATGTCAACAATAATCTCTCTCTGAAGAGGAAAATCATGTGAATGCTGTAGATACAACAGCATTGGTACTGTGATGTATACCGCCCTCAGTTTATTGAGCAGGCTGCTGTACTTTTGGTGATGGATCACTGCTTGTGGAACACACATTTGTTTTATGTCTGTTCAGTCCAGACGCTATAAACAAGTATCACTTCCTGTGTGACACCAAAGAGCAGTAGAACGAGTGCTACGTTGAGTAAACGGAAAATCGCACAACTCCTTTCAGTTTGCTGCAGAACATAAAACGTGTGTGTCGATTTGCTTGTGTTATCAAACATCACTCACCGTGGGGACGTATTCAGAAGGAAATTTGTTGGTAGTATAAGAGATGAGCAGGCAGGTCTTTCCCACTGCACCATCACCAACCACCACACACTTTATAGTCTGCATCTGTGGAGAACGAAGGCAGGAATTAAAGACAAAATGGAGACATACAACATTGACAGACTTTAAACCACATAGCTGAAAGTATCTAATTAGGTGATTTCTAGTTAGGTGGTTTCAAACACAGAAAAGTGAATAATAGAACTAACTTTCAGAAATACTGTTAATCCCCCGAACACCAAAACCCATCGCAAGGTTTGAAAAGCATGTTATCTTAAAAAAAAAAAGAAAAAAACTAGACCATTCATCAGCCAGAAACTGTAGAACCAGAAAGAGTAATCAGATTTTTTAACTTTCCACTGGTATTCATCTACACATCTCATGTGCTGTTATTGTTGGAAAACTTCACCAAGTCTCAGCTTAAAATCATATTTGAGAAAAATTTGTCAAATATAAACTGTTTGTTTCAATCACATGTTGTTAAAAACAAACAATTCTAAGTGTCTCAGCTCAAACATAAAGCCATCAGTGCCTTGGCTGCAACCAAAGGTCAAGTGACAAAAAGAAGTCAAGAAAATTTTCGGCTGAACTGCAGGCTGTGTTTACACGGAGCAGAAAGGTGACAAATATTGTAACTAAAATCACTTAAATAAAAACGCAAGTGGTAAAATATCTCTAGCATGTAGAGAAAAGAAAAATGGGGTTAATCATTGGTTTAATATAGTTACATATACATCATAGTTATATAATTATAGTTGATAAATTCAGTACTTTTTCAGTGTAAATCTTATGTTTATAATAATACACAAATTCTAAAAACATACAACATAAAGATTATAACGATTTCAATGTTACACCTGCATAAATGCAAAGAAATTCACAATTGCTCTGTTCCACAACCAGATAAATTGAATACACTGAGTTTTTAAGGTGTTGTTTTTAGATAGTGTGAAAAGGGAAGCTTTCTTTCATGTAACAGAAAATGTGGTGAAATTGCTTCTTTTCACATATTTAATATAAAATCCCCTCCTCTTTCAAATGACTGTGCTACTACTAACTGAAGAGAGCATCCAGTATTGCACAGCTTATCGGCTCTGTTCAATACCTAACATTGCCCAAATCATCAAAGCTCATCACAACAAGATTTGTAGATTTAAAGAAACAGAGTATACTTACTGCAAATTATACACTACAAGATTAAATGTGTTACCCTACTGTTGTCAGCCCTTTTAAAACTTTACAAGTAGAGGTGATTACTTGAAAATCCACAGGCGATACATAGATACTGGTGATTTATTAGGGTCCGAGCACCAACGGGTGCGAAGACCCTATTGGAACTGCTGGAGTTTATTATTATTTCTTCATGACAAAGAAACACATTTTTGAGGTACTCAGCATACTCACACACGCACCAAACTCGGCACACACATCAGACCCGGCGAAAAATGTTATAATTAGGGGGAAATACACACCTCAACAGTAAAATGGCTCAACAGCGCCCCCTACAAAATTACAAAAAATGGGCCCCGAACACGCTTTCACGTACAGCCACGAAATTCGGCACACACATGTAACAACTCGAGACGCACAAAAAAGAACACATACCCGAAACTCAACAGGAAGTCGGCCATTTTGAAAAAAATGGCGGCTTACCGCTGAAAATCGGCCATTTATGGCAGATTGCAAAATTTCGCTCCTCCTAGGGGTTAAGTCGTACACATTTCAAATTTGGCAAGCACAAACTACACAACATGGTGATTAAAAGTTATCAAAATGCTCCGCAAAAGTCTGATGGTTTAGAAATGGCGCCCCGTGCAATATTGATCAATGGCCATTTTGGCCATTTCTTTTGCGTTTCCAGCATTCAACGGGGTGCCGTCGGAAGGCCGTTTCATCTAAACCTACAAGATTCGGTGGGTATGTTTAGCAGCTCGGGACGCACAAAAAAGTCATCAGCACCAAGCCCTAAACCCAACATGAAGTCCGCCATTTTGAAAAAAAAACGGTCAGAATTTTACGATTTTCACTCATTTTGGGCCATTTTCAAAATCTATCTCGTCCAAGGGGGTAAGTTGTACACACCTGAAATTTGGCCAGCACAATCTACACGACGTGGTGATTAAATGTTATTAAAATGATCCGCAAAAGTCTAACGGCGTGGAAATGGCGGTCCGTACAACTTCGCCAAAAAGCCATAAAACGCCATACAATGGGACGTGCTGTGTAACTGGCTTGTACGCGCTCTGATTGGCCTGTAACTTTACACGTGTGTTCCGAGTCACAGCCAGAGCGTGTTAAAAACATGTGTACATTGACTGGCTCAGTCGCACTGCCACGAGAAGCAATGACCCGTCCAATGCCGCTTGCGGCTTTAATTTTATTTTATTTTTCTATTAAGCCTTGAACAAGTTTTAAGCAAATGTGTCTTAAATGTGAATATCTACTAGTTTTCTGAAGTTTTTGTGTGGTATTGAAGTGTATTTGGGGTTTTGATTACACACAACATGCAATTTGAAAACATGCCTGTTGGACATCTTATGTGCCAAACAACAGATTATTATTGAAGACAATAATGGACATATTGATTTTGGAAATAAAACATGAAAGCAGATATAAATTGTAAAAAAAATTACTTCTGCCAGACACGTGAAAGATCCTACTGCCACTTAAAGAGCTTGAACGTACAATGCTTTAAGTGTGCGATTAAGTATAAGAATTTCTAAATGATTGTCGACAAACGAGGTATTCCTGCCTATCTTTTACTTGTCTTGTGTGTTTCAGCTGCATGTCAACAAGCTACAGCTTCCAGGTATCACACTGACTCAATGGAAACAGTGGCAGCGCTGTAAAGCAGTGTTTTCTCCATACGAATTAGAGAACCTGTGACCATCCAGACACTGAGCAGCTTGCATACCCAAGCTGCTGCTTCATTAAGAGGGACAATAGTAAAGGGATATCAGCTGCCACTTCATCACTGACTCTTTGTTTGGGGCATTTAGCAATGGCAGCAGTCAGGGACAAGGTAGCTGGTGTCAGCATAGACGATGGCACCCGAAGAATTCCTCAGCGACAATCCACATACACATGCAGACAATTACGAAAAAAGTAGTGGGATAGGTGTCTTTCCCATGCACTGTGTCCTATACATTATCTGCATCAAGTTAGTCCTGTTTTGAAATCTGCAGCATTTAGAGATGCAGAAATGATCAATTGTATACTTTCATATTTAGTCAACAGCGGGAAAAAAAAACTATGCATCTCTCTCATGTGTGTGTGTGTGAGATTAATTATTTAATGATTCATATATCTGATTAATTTTCTGTCAGTCAGGTTGCAATTCATTTTGACCTGCAGCCAAACAATAAATCTTTACAATTTGTAGAAAACTGAACAAAAGGGTATATTTGGCACTGACTTATAATGAAAAAACAAACATGCACCAGTTATTCTAATTGGATTAAATCGATTTTCCTTAAGGCACTGCCTACAGGAAACAAGAAAAATGCTTCTTCCTCCAACACTGTTGTCAATTCCATTAAACTGACACAACACATAGGAAATCACACAATCCCTTAAGCGACTACGAACTTATTATATTTATTTCTACTAAGTTTTTGAGCTCTAAATGGTTCAACATCCAACCAGATCCCTCGAAGCGAGACTGCTTTTCAGCCACTTCCGCATACAAAGCTATGGCAGAAACTTGGAAAAAACGATTTATTTATTTATTTATTTTTTTAAATAGCAGGTCAGATCGCCAGCTAGTTAGTTTTTATAAATGTAGAATTATTAAAGCAAACACTCTATATCTGTTTGGCAGGTTTTAAGAGCTAACAGACGTTAAATGTTGGAAAGTTTATTCCTGCGAAGCGAGCTAACGTCAGCTAAGCTTGTCGGTGGCTAACGTGAAGTTACATCCGCCGGACCCCCACCCACAACAAAAATGATCGTTTAAAGTTATTTTAAAACATGTTTAATGACAAAACAACGCGTGTTAGGGCTACATGTAAATATAAAAGAAAGATTGGGTGCGATAGTTGCTCCTAGTTTACCGTAAAAATCCAACCGGTAACTTTCGGCAGAGATTTCAGAGCCGAGCTAGCCCGAAGTTAGCTGAAGGAAACGGTTTGTTTTGACAGCTGCCGGTGAGCGGAGTTTATCTGTTAGCGGACCAACAGACACAGATTTAACACAGAAACGCATCCTCTGCGTTATATTTATGTGCCTCTGTCGATATAGCAGCATTTATCGTCGATAAATCACAGTTTGTCACAATGACAGCGCCTACCTTTCTGTTCACCGCCGCCGGAGTGCTGCTAATGTGGTGCTGCGTTCAGGTGCTTCCCGTAAATGTCCCCGGAAATATGACATGCTGTGTTTAGGTCCCTCAGGATGTGTCGATTATTGCATGCATGTATCACGTTGTGATCTTTCAGTTCAATTCGGCTTAGTTTTAGTTATGTAGCGGCAATTCACAAAAGTATGGCAACAAACATAGTAAGATGAAGACCTTACAATAGTCTTTTTTTAAAGTCATTGATTGCTATATTTTGCTAACTTGAATGGAATATTTAACAAGTTAAATTGATTTTACAACAAGTAATAGATCTTAAAATTGCATTTAAGAACAGAACCATTTAAAACCACTTCTGAGGAGAAAAGGGGATGTTTAGAAATCCTCAATAATAATAATAATAATAATAACAATTCTAAAAAATAATTAACTTAACATTGACATGCAGTAAGAGATTTATACTCTTTATGGCCCCATGTTCCACTACTCAGAAAGTAGTGAACCATAAGAACTGTTTTGCTGTTTTATTCTATTTTATTCTTCTTTTGTAGGCTACCTACACCATGTACTGATGTGTGTCTTTATGTATGTATGCATGTCATGCTGATCTTCTGTGTTGGTGAGCTGAAGACTGGACAATATAGTTTTGTTCTATTCTTTTCAATGACAAAGTCCGACCGGTTTTAAGAGTCCTGTAAAGAAAAGCAAACAAGTCAGAGCGTTCTATTTTATGTCTTCTGTAGCAGAAAAATAATTAAGTGCAGCCGCCATATGCCAGAACAATCTGGGTATGCGAGACTAGTCATCCCCACCACACACCCTAAGCTGGTCTGATCTTTATATCTATGTCCTCCAAAAATGAAATCACCATCCACAGTCCATTGTTGACCTGCATGTGGCTAAATTTGCCATTTCTCAAGTAAAATGATATCAAATCTGTACCTCTAAAGCCTAGCAAAATGTGGTAACCATTGCTCAGCCACTCTTTGGAGTGTGCCAAGTGCACAGACACTTCGAGTTGCGCTGGCGACCTGCAGCCTTGTCTCGCATAGCCAGACTGCAAATACAGCACTGTGTAAATTAGTCTGGCTGCACCTTACTATCATTCTGCCATAGAGGGAAAAAAAAAAGCTCTGACCTGTTTGTATGTCTTTAAATCTGTCACAGTCATCTTGGGCAGGGCTAGGAAGAGGCATTGGGATTGTTTTGTTGGAACATTTGGACACAGGAAGGCAAATACTGTCATTAAAATGGATAATTCTTGAGGTTCTGCCTCCAATTCTCCTCGAGGAAACCCTATGAACCACAAGCAAGCTTATACTTTGGCAGTGAAGTGCTTTGTCAGGATAATATGGTGACAATAAGTGGCAATTAAGAGCTTGTTTGTGAGCAGAATTTTCAATTCCTAAAAATAGAATTAAGAAAAGCTAATATGCGAGAAATATGGCCTCTCTCACTGGTTCCTGTCAGAACTGTGCTGCAGCATTTTTGATCAGATGGAGGTTTTTAAGAGAGTTATAAGGACATTGTGATATTAAGGAATTACAATCGTTCAGTCTAGAAGTTCCTCATTTAGTTTCAATAATTTTAATAAAAGTAAATTATTTTAATTTGTAAATGTATTTACATGATGTATAATATATGTGATATATATTATAGACATACTGATGCAAGTGTTTGGGCAGATCAACTTTTTAAAAGTTCTGTTTTATTAAATTTGCATAGCATTTTAGCATGTGTTTAAGTGTATGTTAGCGTAGTTGTCTTTATTCTTCAGCACAGCTGGAGACTACCAGATAAAAAAATGTTTCACTGTTGCATGTGACAAATAAATGTCTTGAATCTTCGAACAGTTTGTGTTTTCCTGTTTTAGCATAATGAGAATTCTGCCACCACATAAAGGCACGTCCATACAGAAATAGTTTTTCCAGTTGGGTGTGGGAGAACCTGGTTGGAGATATTTCAAACAGTCCCTGAAGGCAGCACCAGGTCAGTAGCATTTGATGCTAGATTTGACATTTAAAGGTGTGGTGTGGGTCCACCTAATATTTTTCAACCAAATATTTAGCTTCACATTCTATCAACATCAAGAGCAAACACTTCCTTCACGAGCATTGCGATTTGATCACATAATGACAATCATTGTGTTTGAATACTACAGACTGAGAAATGAAAGAGTTTGTCAGCAGCCAGCAGAGGGAGATGAAGTACAGACTGTTGGTACTTTTAAGGTTATTGCATTGTTTACAGTGCAGTGCCATTTTAGATGCTTTAACACAACCTGAGAGTGTCATGGTGTTCATCTGTCCTGTCCTTATTGTGCTCTGTCCCTCCTCCTCTACTTAAGGGATCTCTATTGTTTGAAAATGATTTTAAAATACCGTTACATTCAGGACACCCAGCACAACATCAATTCAGACTCTGATATTGGACATTTTTGGAAATGTGGGCTATTGACTGAAATTTAAAACGTATGTTGTGTATATTTGAAGGTATAATTATGAAATAATTTCAAAGCTACTCCGTATGAAAAATATTAGCTGTATTTCAGGCTATACAGACACACACTGTGAGGTAACATGCTTGTTGACTTCTGCAGTTTAAAAACAATTTTCCTGCAGGGATTAATGAAGTTTTTCTGATTCTTGTTTAGCGAGTTGGCATTTTGTGCATCCACCAACTTCAATTGCATCTGGACCTCTGCAGAGGGACTCTCATGGACTTGGGGAGGTCACACAGACTGTCTACATCATTACAATGACTATTACACTGGTCTTGTAATACTTTCTACTCCACTTAAAGTCCATTCCATTACATACATGCACAGTCAGTTGGCATCTTCATATTTTATACTGGTGTAGTCGCTGCACAGACAAAAATTTTTAGGTCACATGGGAACTGTTGCACGCTTTAGGAGATCAAACTTATGTCACATGGACCCTTACGTACTCATAGAAGTATAACACCGGCCTTATAATACCTTCTACTCTGCTTGAAGTCCACTTTGGAGACTATATATGGGAATTAGGTTGTTCCTCTGTTTTCTGTGCATTTGTGCTACTGCTCTGGTAGCATAGTTTTCACATTTTCTGTGCAGACTCTTGCAGACTTGGGTGATTGACAAACTTAACTGACCCTAATGCACTCGTAGAAATGTAAAGTGTAACACTGGCCTTATATGACTTTAGACTTTGCTTGAAGTCCACCAAAACAAGCTGGAGTGTTTTTTTCCCTTATAGCAAAACAATAATGAAGTGCAGCCAGACCCTTAAGTACTCCAGAAGGGTCTAGTTGTGTGAGACTAGCCTCTTAACATTCAACCTAAACTGGTCAAAGTCCATATATAGATATATATTGATATGTCACCCAAAATCAGGTCACCACTCATGGTCCATTGTTGGCCTGCATCAACTTAGTTGTGCCACTTCTCTACCAAAATCCGGTCAAATCTGCATACTCAAAGCCTAGCAAAATTACTTTCTGAAGCACAGTCGGCTCACTTTTGGTTAGGTGCACCAATATTCCCAACTGCCCTGGCTACCTGGAGCTTAATCTTGCATAGCCACTCATGCAGAATGGTCTGGCTGCACCTGTCTGTGTGGCTACGACTCCATGAGGGCAGTGGTGTACATGCAAGTCAAGGACTCTGTTCAATACATTCACAGTAGGTTGCACCCATGGGCACCACTTTCCTTGTAGTGTAGTTATTGCATGGATCCAAATTTTGAGCTGCATGTAGACTCCTGCAGACTTGGGGAGATGACGAAATTTATGCCAAGCAGTTTGCCTGCCTACAGTCACAGACAATCCAAGCTAAATTATCACCCAGCAACCCCTGAAAGAAGACAATTGTGAGATGACGACAAGATGCCCATCTTAGGTTTTACAAAGAGGGATGCAGTGAGAGAGCCATGTCTGACCGACTTGGAATCTGCAAAACAGCTGTCCATTCCAACCAAAGAAGAAAACAAAATATGTCTCCACAGTGGTCTCATAATTATTTACAAAGCTGCATATTGCAGTGAAAAATGAATTACCACTGAGGAAAAATATGAGGGGGAAAATAAAAATGCACAGAAACTGCTGAGTTTGGAGGGTTACAAGGAGCCTGTGTATTATGTGTTTAATAGGGATGAATGTGTTTGTTCTGGCTGGCCTGGCCAGCAGCGATGTGCTGTAAGTGGAGGGGGAGCTCGCCGAGGGAAAGGCTAGTCGACCTTCAGTGGTAACGCAGCAGAAAATGAAATAATTACAATGCAAGGCACTTCTCCATTACCCTTTCCCTCCGGATGGCCTCTCCGTTCCTCACTTCACAAGCATTTCGTCGCACTTTGATCTCCTCACAGCTCTTTTTTTCTTCTTCTTTGTTGCTTTCTCCTGCCTTCTCTCCCTCTCTTCATTTCCATCTTTTCTCTCTCTCTCTCTCTCTCTCTATGCATGTGTGTCTATCAGTCGCTCACCCGTGGCTAAGGGGATGGATGTCAAGGACGTTGTGCTGCTTGTCTCCCAAACATAATCCCATTAAACTTAGGAATTTAATTATAGATTATCTCACACACTCACATGCATGCACTCACACATAAGTTCATCCAGAGGCGTACGCACAGGTGGACACACACACCTCCCTGTGCATACAAACAGAAATACATGAACTGTCACACTAAGATAACACTCACACATGCAGGCAGAGGCACTTCAACACACACACACACACACACACACAGACAGAGAAAAATGATCTATCCTTAAAGTCCCTCTCTAGTCATTGATTAAACTTAAACACTCTAAACCTCTGAAAAATCCTCTCTGTCTATCAGAGCTATCTATTCAGAGGTTCTTTCCATAAAAACAAACATGCCCTCCCTGTAATTCTTCACCACTGTAGCTCAGCACATCAGCTCACCTACAACTTTGCTCAAACACTGTACAGCTACTATTACTGCAACAACACAACGGACAGTTGTAATATTGGAGTAACACAGCCCTGCATGTCCCAGCCAGAAACTGATTCTGAAGGACACTGAACAGAAAGTTCCACCCTGCAAGCTGAGAGGACTGTTTTATTTGG